ATCATCAGGGATGCCAAAACACCAAAACTCCCAAATTCCCAGAAAATCAGCAGGGGTGCCCAAACCCCCAAACCACCAGCAGAGAAATCCCTGAGCGACAGAGTGAAGACAACCAATGAGGATTTTTTTTTTTTTCCCAGCCCTCCCCAGAACTTTCTGCACTCCCCAAACCCCGGAGGAGAAAAAGGGGAGCAGAAAATCCCCTTTTTCCCCCAGAGCAGCCCAGTTCCCACAGGAATTCCTGCCCCCAGCACCCACCTCGTGGCGCGAGGCCGCGGCGCGGTGCAGCGGCGTCAGCCACACCGTGTCCTTGGCGTTCACGTTAGCACCTGTGGGGAGCACACAGCACCTCAGCGGGGTCCCAGCACCCCAAAAAACCCCAAAGCTGCCTCCCCCTGCTGCCCAGAGCCCCACAGGAGGCAGGGAATATCTCCATGGGGATTTGCAGCTGGAGAGGAATGTACCAGATTTTATTTTGTTGGGAGTTTTCTGGAATTCCCCAAACCCAAAACCCAACAGGGGCACGATGAACCCCAAAGGTGTCCCCAAAACCCAACAGGGGCTCCCTGTACCCCAAAAGCATCCCCACAATATAACAGAGACACTCTGTAACCCAAGGGTAACCCCAAAATATAACAGGGACACTCTGCACCCCAAAGGTGTCCCCAAAAACCAACAGGAGCTCCCTGTACCCCAAAAGTGTCCCCAAAACCCAACAGGGGCTCCCTGAACCCCAAAAGCATCCCCAAACACAACAGGGACACTGTAACCCACGAGGGTCCCCAAAACACAACAGTGGGTCCCTACACCCCAGGGCCACCCCCAAAATCTGATGGGGACACCCTGAATCCCAAGGGTAACCCCAAAAACTCAGGGGATCAAGGGCATCTTTGGGATCAGGTGGCTGAGCATCCCCCTCCTCCAGCACCCCACAGATTTTAGGGGATTTTCCAGGACCCCACAGATTTTAGGGCATTTTCTCTGGGATTAAGTAGCTGAGCATCCCCCTCCTTCTCCAGCACTTCACAGATTTTAGGGGATTTTCCAGGACCCCACAGATTTTAGGGCATTTTCCAGATTCCCACAGATTTTAGGAGATCTTCTCTGGGATTCACAGATTTTAGGGGATTTTCCAGATCTCCACAGATTTTAGGGGATTTCCTCTGGGATCCACAGATTTTAAGGGATTTTCCAGATCCCCACAGATTTTAGGGGATTTTAGGGGATCAGGTGGCTGAGCATCCCCATCCTCCTCCAGCACCCCACAGATTTTAGGGGATTTTCCAGGACCCCACAGATTTTAGGGGATTTTTCTGAGATCAAGTGGAACTGCTCCTCTGAGCATCCCCCACCTCCAGCACCCCACAGATTTTAGGGGATTTTCCAGGACCCCACAGATTTTAGGGGATTTTCTCTGGGATCCACAGATTTTGGGGGATTTTCCAGATCCCCACAGATCTTAGGGGATTTTCCGGATACCCACAGATCTCAGGGGATTTTCTCTGGGATCCACAGATTTTAGGGGATTTTCCAGATCCTCAGAGATTTTAGGGGATTTTGAAGATCCCCACAGATTTTAGGGGACCAGGTGGCTGAGCATCTCCATCCTCCTCCAGCACCCCACAGATTTTAGGGGATTTTCCAGATCTCCACAGATTTTAGGGGATTTCCTCTGGGATCCACAGATTTTAAGGGATTTTCCAGATCCCCACAGATTTTAGGGGATTTTAGGGGATAACACTGGTTGAGCATCCCCCTCCTCCTCCAGCACCCCACATCCCCCTCCTGGCTCTGTCTCCACCTTTCCCAAAACGTGCAAACCTTTTAGGGCCACCGTTCCCTAATCCCGCCCTGGCTGCCACCCCGTGAGCTCGGGGGGGTTTTGGGGGGTCCGAGCCCGTCCTGCTGCACCCCCCAGATTTTGGGGGTCGCTTTGGGGTGCCCCTGGCTGTCACCTGACAGGATGAGCAGCTCGAGGATTGCAACGTCTCCGATGTAGGCAGCAGCGTGGAGCGGGGTCCGGCGTTCCTGGTCCTGCAGGGGCACGGGGGAAACATCCGTGAGCTGAGGGGGCTGGGAGGGACTGGGGGATGGGGATGGGATGGTTTTGATAGGATGGGATTTTGGGATGGGATGGGATGGGATTGATGGGACCTGGGGAGCCCTGAGCGAGGGCCAGGAGGGTTTGGGGGGCAGCAGCAGAGCCCTCACCAGCACATTGATGTTCTCCTTCTGATTGAGCAGCGACCGAACCTCCTCCACATCCCGGTTGAAGATGGCTTGGACCAGAGGGGGCTGCAGGGACAGCAGAGGTGACAGTGACACAGCTGGAACGGGGGTGACAGTGACAGGGACACAATGAGGGGTGACAATAACAGGAACACAGCTGGAACGGGGGGTGACAGTGACAGGGACACAGCTGCAGCGGGGGTGACAGTGACAGGGACACAATGAGGGGTGACAATAACAGGAACACAGCTGGAACGGGGGTGACAGTGACAGGGACACAGCTGCAGCGGGGGTGACAGTGGGGGGAGAGTGACAGGGACGGGGCGGGAGGGGGGGGGACAGTGACAGGGACACAGCTGGAACGGGGGTGACAGTAATGGGGACACAGCTGGAACGGGGGGGACAGTGGTGGGGACAGAAGGAGAGGTGACAGTGACACAGGCGGAACGAGGGGCGACAGTGGTGGGGACACAACGAGGGGTGACAGTGACAGGGACACAGCTGGAATGGGGGTGACAGTGACAGGGGACACAATGAGGGGTGACAGTGACAGGGGACACAGCTGGAATGAGGGGTGACAGTGACAGGGACACAGCTGGAATGGGGGTGACAGTGACAGGGGACACAATGAGGGGTGACAGTGACAGGGGACACAGCTGGAATGAGGGGTGACAGTGACAGGGACACAGCTGGAACGAGGGGTGACAGTGGGGGGGACAGAAGGAGAGGTGACAGTGACACAGCTGGAACGAGGGGTGACAGTGACAGGGACACAGCTGGAATGAGGGGTGACAGTGGTGGGGACACAAGGAGAGGTGACAGTGACAGGGACACAGCTGGAACGGGGTTCTGCCATTCCCGGGGTTCTCCTGTTCCCGATCCAGGGGTCCCAACCCCAGAGTTCTCCTGTTCCTGGGGTTCTCCCATTCCTGGGATTCTCCCAATCCCAGGGTTCTCCTGCTCCTGACCCAGGTGTCTCAACCCTGGGGATCTCCTGCTCACAATCCAGGTGTCCCATTCCCTGGATTCTCCCATTCCAGGGCCAAGGATCCCAGTCCCGGGGTTCTTCCAATCCTAGGATTCTCCCATTTCCAAGATTCTCCCATTCCTGGGGTTCTGCCAATCCCAGGGTTCTCCCATTCCTGGCATCTCCTGATCCCAGTGTCCCATTCCTGGGATTCTCCTGTTCCAGGGCCAGGGGAACCCATTCCCAGGGTTCTCCCACTCCCGGGGTTCTCCTGTTCCCGATCCAGGTGTTCCAACCCCAGGGATCTCCTGTTCCCAATCCAGGGGTCCCATTCCCAGGGTTCTCCCACTCCCGGGGTTCTCCTGTTCCCGATCCAGGTATCCCAACCCCAGGGATCTCCTGTTCCTGCTCCCGGTGTCCCATTCCCGGGATTCTCCCGTTCCAGGGCCGGAGAGAATCCCATTCCCAGGGTTCTCCCATTCCCGGGGTTCTCCCGTTCCTGGGATTCTCCCATTCCTGATCCAGACGTCCCAACCCCAGGGATCTCCCATTCCCAATCCAGGTTTCCCATTCCCGGGGTTCTGCCATCCCCAGGAATCTCCCATTCCCGATCCCATGGTCCCATTCCCGGGGGCTCCGCCATTCCCGGGCCGGGGGGTCCCAGGACCGGGATCCTCCCTCGATGCTCCGAGGGTCCCCAGGGTCGGGGGTCCCATTCCCGGGGCTCTCCTGGGGCAGGATCCCCCTGTGATGCTTCACATTCCCGGCCCGGGGGTCCCATTCCCGGGGTTCTGCCGTTCCCGGGGCTCTCCCGTTCCTGGGCCAGGGGTCCCCATTCCCGGGGTTCTGCCATTCCCGGGGCTCTCCCGTTCCCGGCCTGGGGGTCCCATTCCCGGGGTTCTCCCGTTCCCGGCCCGGGGGTCCCATTCCTGGGGTTCTGCCATTCCCGGGGTTCTGCCATTCCCGGGATTCTGCCATTCCCGGGGCTCTCCCGTTCCAGGGTCGGGGGTCCCATTCCCGGGATTCTGCCATTCCCGGGATTCTGCCATTCCCGGGGCTCTCCCGTTCCTGGGCCGGGGGTCCCATTCCCGGGGTTCTGCCATTCCCGGGGTTCTGCCATTCCCGGGATTCTGCCATTCCCGGGGCTCTCCCGTTCCAGGGTAGGGGGTCCCATTCCCGGGGCTCTCCCGTTCCGGCCCGGGGGTTCCATTCCCGGGATTCTGCCATTCCTGGGGCTCTCCCATTCCCGACCCAGGTGTCCCACCCCCGGGATTCTCCCGTTCCCGGCCCGGGATATCCCATCCCGGGGGCTCCGCCGTTCCCGGTTCCGGGGGTCCCACTCCCGGGGCTCTCCCGGGGCAGGATCCCCCTTTAATGCTTCACATCCCCGGCGCAGAGACCCCCGCTGTTCTCCCGTTCCCGACCCGGGGGTTCCCTCCCGAGGCTCCCATCCCCGGCGCTCTCCCGTTCCCGGCCCGGGCCGCGCTGGGCCCGGCATGAACGGCAGCGAACGGCGACCCCGTCCCTTCCCGGGGCTGCGGCGGGGCCGGGAGCGGCGGGGAGGGCTCGGCGGAGCGGGGCCCGCGGCCTGGGGCGGTAGCGGCGCGGCCCGGGCGAGGCGCGGCGGCGGCGGCGGCGGCGGCGGCGCGGGAGCAGGGAGGGGAGGACGAGGCGGCGGCCGTACCTGGTCCGTGATGCTGAGAACCCCCATGTCGGGGCCGCCCTCAGCGCCCAGCTCCCGGCATCGGGTCCGGCCGCGGCGGCTCCGCTCGGGCGGCTGCGGGGCGGGGATGGAGCGCCGGGGATGCGCCGCCCACCGGCCCCGAGCGCCGCCGCCGACGGGGACGGCGGCAGCGGGGGCGGCCCCGGCACGGCGGCATCGCTGGGGCACGCGCGAGGAGAGGGCGGGGGGCTGCGGGCGGCGGCGGCCCCGGCGCGAAGGGCGGCGGGAGAGGGGCCGGGGTCGCGGCTCCGGGGTGTGCCCGGTGGGAACGGCACCCACGAGGGGCTCTCGGTAACCCCGGGGGTCCCGGGGGTCGCTGCTCCGGGATGTCCCCTGTGGGAATCACTCCATGAGCGGCTGTCGGTGACCCCGGGGGTCCCGGGGGTCGCGGCTCCGGGGTGTGTCTGGTGGGAACGGCACCCACGAGGGGCTCTCGGTAACCCCGGGGGTCGCTGCTCCGGGATGTGCCCGGTGGGAATCACTCCATGAGCGGCTGTCGGTAACCCCGGGGGTCTCGGCTCCGGGGTGTGCCCGGTGGGAATCACTCCATGAGCGGCTGTCGGTAACCCCGGGGGTCGCTGCTCCGGGATGTGCCCGGTGGGAATCACTCCATGAGCGGCTGTCGGTGATCCCGGGGGTCCCGGGGGTCGCGGCTCCGGGGTGTGTCTGGTGGGAACGGCACCCACGAGGGGCTCTCCGTAACCCCGGGGGTCGCTGCTCCTGGATGTGCCCGGTGGGAATCACTCCATGAGCGGCTGTCGGTAACCCCGGGGGTCTCGGCTCCGGGGTGTGCCCGGTGGGAATCACTCCATGAGCGGCTGTCGGTGATCCCGGGGGTCCCGGGCACGAGGGGCTCTCGGTAACCCCGGGGGTCCCGGGGGTCGCTGCTCCGGGGTGTGCCCTGTGGGAATCACTCCATGAGCGGCTGTCGGTGACCCCGGGGGTCCCGGGGGTCGCGGCTCCGGGGTGTGTCTGGTGGGAACGGCACCCACGAGGGGCTCTCGGTAACCCCGGGGGTCGCTGCTCCGGGATGTGCCCGGTGGGAATCACTCCATGAGCGGCTGTTGGTAACCCCGGGGGTCTCGGCTCCTGGGTGTGCCCGGTGGGAATCACTCCATGAGCGGCTGTCGGTGATCCCGGGGGTCCCGGGGGTCGCTGCTCTGACACGCTCCGGGATGTCCCCGGTGGGAGTGACATCCACGAGGGGCTGTCGGTGACCGCGGGGGTCCCGGGACAGCGGCTCCTCCATCCCAAAGGGCTCTGGAATGGTGGCAGAGGGTCCCGGGGGTCCCGTGTGCCACCTCCATCCCCTCCGTGGGGTCTGTCCGGTGGGAATCCCATCCTTGGGGGTCCCGGGGGTCCCGGGACAGCGGCTCCCCCGTCCCAAAGGGCTCTGGAATGGTGGCAGAGGGTCCCGGGGGACTGGTGATTGATTGCCTGCGCTGTACTGGGCTGTACTGGGCTGAACTGGGCTGTACTGGGATGTACTGGGCTGAACTGGGCTGAACTGGGATGTGCTGGGCTGAACTGGGATGTGCTGCGAGGAACTGGGCTGAACTGGGCTGAACTGGGATGTGCTGGGCTGTACTGGGCTGAACTGGGCTGTACTGGGATGTACTGGGCTGAACTGGGCTGTACTGGGCTGTACTGGGCTGTACTGGGCTGTACTGGGCTGTACTGGGCTGTACTGGGCTGTACTGGGCTGTACTGGGATGTACTGGGCTGGACTGGGCTGAACTGGGCTGTACTGGGATGTACTGGGATGTGCTGGGATGTGCTGCGAGGAACTGGGCTGAACTGGACTGGGCTGTACTGGGAGGCACTGGGAGGTACTGGGGTGTGTTGGGCTGCACTGTGCGGCTCTGGGTCACACAGCTCCCGCAGCCACGGTGAATTCCCGGTCTCTCTCGCCTCCTCTGCCCGGTTCGGAGCGGGGCCGTTACCGGGACACGGCACCGGGGACTCCCCGTCCCTCTCCGGACCCACCGACCGGGGACACGTGTGGGAGGCTGGGCCGGGCGCCCCCTGGAGCACAGCCCAGCCCCGGCAGCCGCGGGCGGGGCAGTCCCGGTTGGTTCCCGCCGGTCCCGGTCCCGGTGCACCCGCACTACATTTCCCATCATACCCCGCGCACTCTCAGACTACAACTCCCATCGTCCCTCGCTCGGGGGGCGTCTCCTCGCCCCGCCCCGTGACGTACCCGCCGCTATGGCGACGTGGTGACGTCACGGGGTGAGAGGTCAGGGCGGCGGCGGCGCCGCGTCCCGGCCCGGTCCCGGTTCCGGCCCGGCCCCGGTCCCGGCCCGGTCATGGCGGCCCGGCGGCTGGGCGGGCGGGCGGAGGTCACACCGGCCCCGGGGGCACCGGGCCGGCGATCGTGCTGCTGGGGCTCCTCCGGGCCTGCCCGCGCTCCCGACCCTCGCGGGGTGGGGTGGGCCGGGGGCACCTTGGCGGAACCGGGGGGTCCCGGCGGGGCCGGCCCGGGGGTCCCGGTGGTCGCGGGGGTCCCGGTGGTGGCGGGGCCGCTGTCCCGGTTCCCGCGGAAGGCCGCTGGGTGGGGAACACTGGCTGGGAGGGGCTGACCTTGGGGCAAAGCCCGCTGGGGACACCGGGAGCGGGCCGGTGCGGGAACCGAGCCCGGTGTCACCGAGCCCGGTGTCACCGAACCCCGGTGTCACCGGGCGAGGCGACAGTCCCGAGGCCACCCGGCCGTGTCCCCTCTGCTCGGGGACAGCGGCTCCGGTGGCAGCGGGGAGGGACAATTCCCGAATTCCCGTGGGGAATTCCCGGGATCTCCCCCCGGAGCGGCACCGGAGGGACGGCACGGTGCACCGGGGAGGCACCGGGGGTCACCGGGGGGGCACCGGGCGCTTGTCCCCGCCGGGATTAGCTGTCCCCAGCTCGGGTTTCCCGACCTTCCTCCTCCTCCTCCTCCTGCCAGCCCCAGCACCGGCACCGGCCCGAGCCCCCGGGGGCGTTCCCGGCCCGGGAGGGGCTGGAGGGGACGGGAGGGGACCCGGGGCTGTCTGGAAGGGACTTGGGATGGTCTGAAAAGAGCCTGAGCTGGTCAGGAGGGGATCTGGGATGGTCTGGAGGGGTTTGGGGGGGTCAGGAAGGGACCCAGAGCTGTCAGGAAGGGACCTGGGCAGGTCTGGAGGGGGTTGGGGTGGTCTGGAGGAGCTTGGAATGGTTTGGAAGGGACCTGGGATGGGCTGGAAGGGGCTTGGGACGGTCTGGAAGGGGTTTGGGATGATCTGGAAGGGACCCAGAGCTGTCAGGAGGGGATCTGGGATGGTCTGGAGGGGTTTGGGGTGGTCAGGAAGGGACCCAGAGCTGTCAGGAAGGGACCTGGGCAGGTCTGGAGGGGTTTGGGGTGTTCTGGAGGAGCTTGGAATGGTTTGGAAGGGACCTGGGATGGTCTGGAAGGGACTTGGGACGGTCTGGAAGGGGTTTGGGATGGTCTGGAGGGGTTTGGGGGGGTCAGGAAGGGACCTGGGCAGGTCTGGAGGGGTTTGGGGGGGTCAGGAAGGGACCTGGGCAGGTCTGGAGGGGTTTGGGGGGGTCAGGAAGGGACCTGGGCAGGTCTGGAGGGGTTTGGGGGGGTCAGGAAGGGACCTGGGCAGGTCTGGAGGGGTTTGGGGGGGTCAGGAAGGGACCTGGGCAGGTCTGGAGGGGTTTGGGGGGGTCAGGAAGGGACCTGGGCAGGTCTGGAGGGGTTTGGGGGGGTCAGGAAGGGACCTGGGCAGGTCTGGAGGGGTTTGGGGGGGTCAGGAAGGGACCTGGGCAGGTCTGGAGGGGTTTGGGGGGGTCAGGAAGGGACCTGGGCAGGTCTGGAGGGGTTTGGGGGGGTCAGGAAGGGACCTGGGCAGGTCTGGAGGGGTTTGGGGGGGTCAGGAAGGGACCTGGGCAGGTCTGGAGGGGTTTGGGGGGGTCAGGAAGGGACCTGGGGTGGTTGGAAGGGACCTGGGCAAGCCTGGAGAGAGCCTGATCTGGTCAGGAAGGGGTCTGGGATGGTGTGGAGGGGGCGTGGGAAGGTCTGGAAGGGATCTGGATTGGTCTGAAGGGGCTTGGGGTGGTCTGGAAGGGGTCTGGAAGTTCAGGAAGGGACCTGGGCAAGTCTGGAGAGAGCCTGAGCTGGTCAGGAGGGGATCTGGGATGGTCTGGAAGGGACCTGGGATGGCCTGAAGGGGTTTGGGATGGTCTGGAGGAGCTTGGAATGGTTTGGAAGGGAGCTGGGATGGTCTGGAAGGGGCTTGGGTGAGTCTGGAAAGAGCCTGAGCTGGTCAGGAAGGGGCCTGGGATGGTGTGGAAGGGGTTTGGAAGTTCAGGAAGGGGTTTGGGATGGTCTGGAGAGGTTTGGGATGGTCAGAAAGGGACCCAGGGCTGTCTGAAAGGGGCTTGGAATGGTCTGGAAGGGACCTGGAAGTTCAGGAGGGGACCTGGGCACGTCTGGAGAGAGCCTGAGCTGGTCAGGAAGGGACCTGGGATGGCCTGGAGGGATTTGGGATGGTCTGGAGGAGCTTGGAATGGTTTGGAAGGGACCTGGGACGGTCTGGAAGGGGTTTGGGATGGTCTGGAGGGGTTTGGGAAAGTCTGGAGGGGTTTGGGAAGGTCAGGAAGGGTTTGGGAAGGTCAGGAAGGGACCTGGGCCAGTCCAGAAAGGACCAGGGAAGGACTGGAAGGGATCTGAGCTGATCAGGAAGGGACCCAGGCCAGGTGGGAATGGGTCTGGAGGGACCTGGGAAGCCCTGGAGGGGCCTGTGAGGCTCTGGAGGGATTTGGGATGCTCGGGAAGGGCCTTGTCCATCAGGAAGGGTCCCAAGGGGCTGCTGCATGTCCCGCTGCCGCTGGTGACAGCTGGTGACACCCGGTGACACCTGGTGATGGCTGGTGACACATGGTGACTGCCGGTGCCACCGGTGACAGCTGGTGCTGCTGGTGACAGTCAGTGACACCCAGTGACTGTCGGTGCTGTAGGTGCTGTCAGTGACACCCGGTGACAGCTGGTACCACCAGAGCTGGTGACACCCGGTCGGTGACTGCCGGTGACACCCGGTGACTGCTGGTGACACCCAGTGACAGCCAGTGCTGTAGGTGCTGTCAGTGACACTCGGTGACAGCTGGTACCACCAGTGACAGCCGGTGACACCCGGTGACTGCCGGTGACACCCGGTAACTGCTGGTGACAGTCGGTGACTGCTGGTGACAGTCGGTGACACCCAATGACTGCCGGTGCTGTCAGTGACACCCGGTGACAGCTGGTACCACCAGTGACACCTGGTGACACCCGGTGACTGCTGGTGACACCCAGTGACAGCCGGTGCTGTGGGTGCTGTCAGTGACACTCGGTGACAGCTGGTACCACCAGTGACAGCCGGTGACACCCGGTGACTGCTGGTGACACCCGGTGACTGCTGGTGACAGTCGGTGACACCCAGTGACTGCTGGTGACACCCAGTGACAGCCGGTGCTGTGGGTGCTGTCAGTGACACCCGGTGACAGCTGGTACCACCAGTGACAGCCGGTGACACCCGGTGACTGCCGGTGACACCCGGTGACTGCTGGTGACAGTGTGTGACACCCAGTGACTGCTGGTGACAGTGTGTGACACCCGGTGACTGCCGGTGACACTCGGTGACACCCGGTGACACCCGGTGACTGCTGGTGACAGCCGGTGCTGTGGGTGCTGTCAGTGACTGCCGGTGACAGTCGGTGACACCCAATGACTGCCGGTGACAACTGATGCTGCCGGTGACAGCCGGTGCTGGTGGGTGCCGTGGGTGCTCTGGGTGTTGTCAGTGCCACCTGGTGCTGCCGGTGCCACCCGGTGCCACCCGGTGCTGCCGGTGCCAGCCCGTGCCGCCCGTGTCCCCGCAGGCACACGGCCCCGTGCGGGCTCCGGCTGCGGCAGCAGCGGCCGGGCCCCGCGGGTGCGGAGCCCCGAGCGCCGCCCAGCCGCGGCTTCCTGAGCCTCGGCAACAAGCGCAAGGAGTACTCGGAGCGGCGCATCATCGGGTGGGTGACACGGCCTGGGGCCGGGCTAAACCTGGGCCTGGGGCTGGGCCCAGCTCCAAACCCAGCCCTGAGCCTGAGCCTGAGCCTGAGCCTGAGCCTGAGCCTGAGCCTGAGCCTGAGCCTGAGCCTGAGCCTGAGCCTGAGCCTGAGCCTGAGCCTGAGCCTGAGCCTGAGCCTGAGCCTGAGCCTGAGCCTGAGCCTGAGCCTGAGCCTGAGCCTGAGCCTGAGCCTGAGCCTGAGCCTGAGCCTGAGCCTGAGCCTGAGCCTGAGCCTGAGCCTGAGCCTGAGCCTGAGCCTGAGCCTGAGCCTGAGCCTGAGCCTGAGCCTGAGCCTGAGCCTGAGCCTGAGCCTGAGCCTGAGCCTGAGCCTGAGCCTGAGCCTGAGCCTGAGCCTGAGCCTGAGCCTGAGCCCAGCTCCAAACCCAGCCCTAACCCCAATCCCAGCCCTAATCCCAACCCCAGCTCCAATCCCAATCCCAACCCTGACCCCAATCCCATCCCCAATCCAAATCATAGCTTAG